ATCTTTGTAGTAGGCAGCGTACAACTCAGAATCACATACCACACTGTTGACTCATACTGATTTTGTCGTCCACTAACACCTTCAGATCTTTTTTCCCTCCCACCTCCCCACTCTCTTGCTTAGTAATCATGCCTCCTCAACATTATATCTAGCACAGATTTTTTGAAGGCAAAGCTAAAATTTTATACTATTATATTTCACCTGGTCAGATTCAGCCCAATTTTCTTGCCTAGCAGTATCTTTTCGAATAGTGACTTTGTTATCCAGTCTGTTAGCTGTTTCATTTAATCTGTTTATTTGATAAGGATTGCCACCTATGCCTTCATCCAAATAACTGATTAAAATGGTACAGTAAAGGACCCAACTACAGATCTCTGGGTCACTCTACTGACAAAGTTTTGCACTTTTTACATGTTAACACTGAACCATTGATTACTTTTTGAGTCCATATAATAGTATTATCATCTATCCCCACTCCATCATTTCCACACGAATAGTAACAACTACTCTATTGAATGCTTTCTTAAAACCTATGTAAACCGTATTTATACTATTTCTTGTATTCTACAAGTTGAGAAAGCTTGTTGAAAAAGGAAATGCTTGTAAGGCATGATTTATTTTTTTTTGAAGCCATAGTTAAATGTGATTACTAATTTCTGTAATTCACTAAATATCTCTCCAATAAGTTTTGGAGCCTTGCCAAGAAATTTACTGGACTATGGTTTGTATTGTTTGATTCTTTTCCCTTTTTAGAAAAAAAGGGATACTTGCCCTTTTCTAGTCCTACAGTATTCCCTCCTGTTCTCCAGTTACTAAGAGTGCTTGGGGAATCATAGCTGCCAGCTCTTTCAGTATCTAAGAAATGTAGTTCATCTGTTAAAGAGAACTACTCTTGATCATTCTGTACCCACAGAACATTCTACTCTCAGTTACTTGCCCCTGAATCATTTGTTTCTAGGCAACATTGGATGAAGGTAGGTGGCAAATGTGGAACCTGGCAGTGGGAAAAGGTGGACCTTGGACTCTTAGGGATGGCACTGAAAGAACAGAGACAGTGGGCCAGTGCACAGTTATGGGAAGGGCCTGCTGGGATAACAGCATCCTCAGAGCAAAGCCATGGTTTCCTGTCTGCTAGTTAAGGCTCTGAAAAGTAGTTCCTTCTTTCAAGTTTATATGCTTTAATTTCAGCAGTGACAATGACTTTAATGGACTGTAACTGAAGGGCCTGAGATTTCTTTTTTATTATCTATCTTTGGCTTTTTTTCCTCTCTTCTATTTTAAGTCTTAATATTCACTGATGCTTTACATTTATCTTATGGAAACTTTACATAGACTAATTACAATATTCAGGCATAGCTGAATCTCTAAGAACTCCAATGACATTCATTTGGTCAATTTAAGTGAAATTTTATAGCCCTTTTGCAAAATTTTGCTTGTATTTTGGGATCATCTCTGCTGAATATTTACTTCAACCTTTCAGGGATCCATACTTTCACCAATATAACATTTCCTTTCACCAACAGAAGTAACCCCCTTTGATTTAGTAGATGGTCTTCACGAATTATTGTGGCCCAAAAACCAAAAACCAATCACCTGATGGCTGGTCTTTGGTTAATGAGTCTCTGCAAATTCAGATATGCCAGTCCTCAAAAAGCAGTCCCTTCCCCTGGAAGCCACATTTGAAGCCACTGAGTACAATGAGATCTGCTTTATCTTGTGTTCTCCTGCCACAGCCTGGGAGAACACCAGGTTACTTCTATGCCAGCATGAGATATTCCAGAAGACTGTAGAGGAGGTGCAACAAAATCCCTGTTTTTGAGCTTTGGTAACTTTTAGGTGCTCTCTTGTGATGGTCTGTGCTTCATGATGAACATGACCAAGGATTTTAATTGAGGATATACAAGAGGAGCATATTGAGCCAGAGAAGTGGGCAGCTGAATTGGATAGCTCAAAGCATACATTATCAAGTGCTTCCTTTAATTATGATGTGGTTAGTCGGCAAAATAGATACTTACCAACTCCTGGGCTAAAAAATTGAATTCTATCATTGCAAGCATTTAACTAGTGACAAAAGGTTGTTTAAAAATTCACAAGTATCCATATGCATTATTTTATTCTTTGTAATATGACTTTTGAGGGAATCAAGTCTCTTGTCCCATCCTTGCTCTAAATTTCTACATGATCTCATATTTTAATGCTCATAAACAGATGGAAACACACAGAACTGTAAAGAAATAACTTTAAAGGAAGATAAATAGACAAATACATACAAAAGAAGGTGAGAAAAAGCTGAGTATTTATTGCATTTTTTTTGAAAAATGAAATGTAACAATTTCCCAGAAGACATTTGATAACCTTGATTGGTATAACCTAAACAACCTTAGGTCCACTGTTATTTTTAATGTTTTGGCAAGAACCAAGCTTGTGAAAAACCATTTTCCCCTAAAATTTAAGTGTTTTCCCTTTGGAGGTACTCATTACTTGGGAGCAGAAACAATAAACTGAATGGCACATACTGATTAAGACCTTAGGTAAATAGTGGGGAGAGAGCAACTAGGAGACTGTGTTTGTTTGGTATAGGAAGTTGTTAGGTGGGACCCTGGTATTTCCATAAACTGGGGGGAAATTTTAAAAAAGCAATGAAACGGTGACTCCAGAGACACAACAGATATAGTTCAACCTTTGTATCTGAGTGTTTAAAAAAATACACTTCATATGTGAACTAAGGCAAGAAAGGTACCTTTCCTAGATTATCTGAATATAGTTGGGCCACAGGAGAGGGAAAAAGTGAACCTTTAGAGTCAAATTAGTCCTTAGCAGACAAAGCTTTCAAGAAATTCAGGAAGTAGAGAAAATCAAGAAAATTGTATCAAATCTGAACAGTGTTCCAGGATAAGTAGGTATAAATTTGGAAATGCAGGGAAAGAAGATCTAAAAGCACAGACTTTGGGCTTTAATGGAACAGGAGTGCTTGAAGACACAGGAAGCTCAGAAAGGAGCACAGGTGCTGGATCGGTGGAACTAATGACTATTGAAAAGTACAGGAAAGTGGTCTTGGTCCACAGGTGACCCAAAGGGTGTAGGCCCTTGGGAAATGCAATTCAGCAAACAGTTTTTATATGAAAATGAAATAGTCCTAGACCTCAAAGACCTTACATTCTACAAGAGGAAAAAAAGGAGCTGGATCTCTAGATGAGGAGGACTGAAAGGTATAGGGGCTCAGGAAAGGGGACTGAGTCCTGGAAGAGGAGGGCTGAAGGGTGAGGAAGGTCAGAAAAGAGAGAGGTCCCTTGAAGACATGTATGTGTGTGTGTGTGTGTGTGTGTGTGTGTGTGTGTGTAGGGGGTAGGATTTGGGATTCCTAGAACAGGAGAGCCACAGGGTATGATGGCTCAGGAAGGCAGAGCTTTGGAACAGGAGAGCTCAACTGCATGAGAGTCAGGAAAGTGGGCACTGGCTCCCAGGAACAGGAAAACTGAAGGCCACTCTGATAACTCAGAAAGGGGAAAGAGAAATGAGTTTTTAGAACTTGAGAACTGAAGAGTATGGGGCTCAGAAGGAAGGGGCATATTGGAAAACTGAGTTTCTGGAATATAAGTTAAAAAGAATGGGGCCTAGGAAGGGGAGTCTGGATGCTTGGTACAGGTTGCTGATGAAGGGGAAGGAAAGTAGGCTGGGTCCTTGGAACCTGACACCCACAAACTTCAGCAAAAGGGTCTGGGTCCCTGGAACAGGAGAGGTGAAAGTAAATGGGGTTAAGAAAAGGAGCTAAGTCTCTGGAAAAGAAAAACCAAAGAGTATGGAACTCAGAACAGGGGCTGGGCTGGAGCTCTTGGACTAGGAGAGCTGAAGGCAGTGGGGCTCAGAAAGAGGTCCGGGTCTCTGGAACAGGAGAGCTGAAGGGGGGAACCGGGCCAGGAAAAGGGCTTAATCCCGGGAATAGGGTAAGTTTAAGGGTGTAGCTGCTCAGGAAGGGAGTTAGAATAGGTTAAGATGAAAGATGTGGCTCAGAAAGGGAGCTGGCTTCCTAGAGCAGGAGAGTTGAAGGAAGTGATTTGGAAAGGCTAAGTTTCTAAAACGGTGGGGAAGGGTGAGATGTGGGCTCAGGAAGGAGGCTTGGTTCCTGGACTAGAAAAGGTGAAGGGTTTGGGGTACAGGAAATGGTTAGCTCTCTGGAAAAAGAGAATTGAAGAGGGCGAGGCTCAGGAAGGGGGCTGGCTCTCTGGAACAGTGGGGGGTCAGAAAAGGGGGCTTGGTCCTTTGAACAGGAGAAGCTTAAGGGTGTGAGCTTAGAAAGTGTTCTCTGGCTTCCATAAGGGTGTGAGGCTCAGGAAGGGGGCTGGCTCTCTGGAACAGGGAAGCAGAAAAGCTCTAGGGTTAAGGGGACTTAGCCCTCTTGAGAGGGAGAGGGAAAACTTAAGAGTGTGGGGCCCATGAAGTGGACTAAGTCTCTGAAAGAAGAAACCTACAGGAAGTGGAAAGGGGCCTAAGTCTCTGGAATAAGGGGCCTGAAGAGTATGGGGTCAGGAAAAGGTCTAACGCAGTGGAACAGGACATTTGAAGGTTGGGCGGGGGAGGAGGGAGGAAAGGGGTTTGAGACCCTGGAAGAGGGAGAGCTGAATAAGGAGTCAGGAAGGTGTGGTGAGACCCTGGAAAAGGACAGCTGAAAACTGCAGGGGCAGGAAGGGGAGTCGACACCCTGGGATGGGGGGAGGTGAAGGCAGCGGAGTCAGGAAGCGGGTGAGGGGGCTGAGACCCCGGAACAGAAGGAGATAAAGGCAGTAGGGCGAGGAAGGGGCTAGCCCCACGCCAGGGCGGGAGCCCCACGCCGGAGCCCCACTCCCAGAGCACGCGTAGAGCAGCATCCCGGCAGCTCGGAAGCGCGCGGCGGAGCCGAGGGGAAGCCGATTCCGGAGGAGGGATGGAGATGGCTTCGTTGGACGATACTGGGTGGCGGGAGAGAGGGGCCCGCACTCACCGCAGTTCGAAATGTCCCTTACCCGCATGTGCAAATCTGGCACAGACAGAGGAGCGTCATTGTCCTGCCGAAGCCTTCCCTCCGGCCGTTTCTAACACTCTCGAACCGAGGCCGTAGTAACCACAGCAACCCCGTGCTGCCTAGTGACGGCCGCGGCGTCCTATGAACGGGGCGGGCTTCCGGCGTCGTCACAGGGGGCGGGCCAGTCGAAGGTCGCGGTCCTCGCCACGCCCCTTCGCCCCTCCTCCCCCTTCCCCAGCTCCCCCATCCTTGAGTTCCGGGTGTGCAACAGCCTCCTCCTCCGCGTCTCCTCCGGCACGCGTGGTGGCGCCTGAGCTGCTGGGCCCGACATCGGCTCCTTGGGTTTTTTTGTCATCTGTAACTGAGTGAGTGGGTGAGTTGGGGGGCGTCGAGACGCAGGTGGGCAGGGGGCTGGAACGATTCCTGGGTGACTGCCTCCAGCGTTCCCCTGCTAGAGCGCTTGGACATCGGCTTACCCCGGCCGGCGTCACTCGCTGGGGTCAGAGGTCGCGCACGCCCAGGTTGTCAGAACTGGAAGGGGGAACCCTGGGAAGTTGTGAGGCGCCGGCGCCCCGCGCTGCTCGGGGCGGGATTCAGCCTCCCCCCGGGCACTTCCTCGCGGGCCTCGTCCCTCACCTCTCCGGGGTCACCCTCCGGTTCTCCCCACGTCCCCCAGATCAAAATGCGATCCTAGAGGGGCCGGATGCGAAGCGGGGCTCGGCAGCTTGGGCTCCCGCAGCCCCAACTCTGGGGAAAGGCCGGCGGGAAACTTCGGCGAGGCGTGGACGTGGAGCGCTCCCTCGGGATGGAGGGATGGACGGCAGGGAGCAGTTGTGGGGTCCCGAGGCCTGGCTCTGCCCAGATGACTTGGGACGGATCATTTCCCCCCGCTGAGTCCCGGTGTCCTCAGACGTAACATAAATGAGACCAGGAGTCTAAACTTATTTTGGTGGTTTGGGGTATAGGGGGTTCATGAACTCATTGGGCAGTCTGGCGAAATCGATGAGCCCCCTCTCAAAACAGTGTTATTAAATGAACAAAATAAAATACGTAGGATTACAAAGGAAACGAAATGTATAGAAAAATAGTTATGAAGTCGTAATTTAACATACGAGTATGTTTATAGACACGTGTATAGTTATGTAGCACATCCGAATGTATTTATAGATGTACATATGTATACACATATGTATGTGTACATACATGTATGTGTATATTAGGATTAATGACATAAAGCTGGAAATGTAAACTTATATCGTTGAATGTTTTGAATGCCAGGCAAAAAAAATTGTTTTAAACTTTAATGGGTAGGCAATAGTGAGTCATTGAAGCTCATTTTGAAGAGAGGAGTGTGATATGGCCATTAGATCATCATTTATAAAATGTTTTATGTGCCATACATTGCTAAGTGCAGGGGATGCAGAGAAAATTGTATATACGCATGTATATGTATCTCTCTGTATGTGTGTATATGTGTACATTTATGTGTATAGAGAGTTCACCAGATCCCAGGTAACTCCACTCAGAAGGATCTCTGAGGTCAGTCAACAAGCATTTATTAAGAGCTTACTGTATGCAGGGATGCTGTGCTAAGCACTGGGGATACAAAGAAAGAGAGGAATATGGTTCTTGCCTTTATATCTATCATACTGTGATTCTAGGCACTGAGGATCCAGAGATGGGGAGAAAAAAAAGACCCTGCCCTCAAGTTTACATTTTGCTTGTCACTTTGCCATAGTTCCTCCCTAAATTACATTAGAAGGTGGCCCAGAGTAGTTGAACATATAGTATCAAGAAGTTAACTTTAGGAATCAACAGAATACTTCCCTTTTTGGTTTTTGTTGGCATTGTACAGATTGTTCCAAAAGTTTTAGTATACTTATAAGCCTTATTAGTAGTGCAGTTTTAAGCTAATAAAGTTTAAAGACTTTTGGGGTATCCTGCATATCTAAATAGACCTGGTTCTGCCATTAACTCACTGAATGGGCAAGTTACTTCACTTTTGGCTCGCAATTATTCATCTGTAAGATGAGGATGTTGGGCTATATTACTTCTACCATCTCTTTCCATTTGGTAGTTGGGGCTTAAATTGAGAGTTATAATGGACTTTCTAGTTCTTTGGGTCCAACTTTTCATTTTACTATTAAGCAAACTCTGAGTCCCAGAGAGTTATTAAGTAACTTGAAAGATGGACCAGTTAAGATTGTAAACTTTGTTTTTTAAGTTAAAAGCTACAGCTGTGGAAATAAATTTTGAGTTATTGAAAATACCTAAAGTAATTTTTGTTTTGCCTATATGGGCATTTTAAAAACTTGTTTCTCTTGTTTTTAATGATTCATATTAAAGATTTATGTAAATATCTCCAGGTCATGATGAATCAGTTTCTAAATCTACTACTCTGTACATTTAAAAGGAGGCAAGCTAGGTGTCACAGGAGAGTGAGTCATGGACCTGGAGTCAGGAAGATGGGTTCAAATCCAGTCTCAGATACCAGCTGTGTGACTGGGCAAGTCATGTAACCTTTCTTGGCTTCCGCTTCCTCAGCTGTAAAATGGGAATAGCATCTGCCTCCCAGAGTGGTTATGAGGATAAAATGAAATCATATTTGTAAGGTTTTTGCAAACCTTAAAGTGCTGTGCAAATAGTGTGTTCAGTCACTTTTTAAGTTGTGTCCCATTCTTCAAGATACATTTGGGATTTTCTTGGCAAAGATACTGGAGTGGTTTGCCATTTCCTTCTCCAGCTCATTTTACAGATGAGGAAACTGAGGTAGACAGGATTAAGTGACTTGCCCAGGGTGACACAGCTAGTGTCTGAGACCAGATTTGAATTCAGGGAGACGATTCTTCTGCCTCCAGGCCTGGCACTCTATTCACTGTACCACCTACCTGCCCCATATATAAATATAAATGTTATCAATTATTATGTGCATTAAGCAGTGTGCAAAAGACTGAAATTCTGCATGTATGTGACTTTGCTTACTTTCATAGTAGTTATAAATATATTAAAAAAATAAATAACAAGAAAATTTGCTCTATGATTGATCTGCAAGATATTAAGATATAATTGACTAAAATGTCATCCTAGAACTTGCAACAGCCTGTTTGTTTATTCACTCTATGGTAACTTTTGAAGAAATTAATTGATTAAAAAGTTTTTTAAAATTCTTTACTGAAAAAGACTATATAGATATACTGAAAGATGAATTTTAAAATCAATAGCCCCATCCTGAAACCAAATCCCAGGCATGGTGTTCAAATACATATACTAAAGCGTTTCTTAAAAGAATTTTAGTAAAATTTTATACATGTGTACAAAGTACAGAGATAAATGACTTTCAAGGAAGATTAGTCAATCTACTTATAGGCTGCATAAATGAAACAGTGTTTTTGTCCTGTTGAGTATTATTATTTAAACAAGAAATGATGACAACCATTGACCTATAGCAAAAATGAAGGGCCACAAAGTAAAAGCGTTTTTTTCTGTCAAGAAATAATAAAATATGATAGCCATCTGTTTTTTAAATTGAGGATAAAAGCTTATTTAAAACAACAAAGGATTTTTTTTAAAGTTCCTTATTATACTTAGTTTAAAGAGGAAAGACTTTATTTAAGGTCTGCTTTTTTTTAATAAGCTGTGTAAAATTAAAGTGAGGGCTAAGTTTTGCTCAGAACCTGGAGTTTATGTATTGCTAGGGCCTAGAAGTGGGGCTTAAATTTTGTAGGCTCTCTAGCGTATTCTTTGAGGTGAGAGCCAGTATAGGAGGTGGGGAACAGGAAATTCATATTTGTATGAAAAGAAACCAAATCATTAAATACTCTATCAAAAAGCCCTCTCCCTAAGGCTGAATTTTTAGTTTTATAGAAGTATAAACTGCTCATGTTCAATTTTTATTATCTTTGTAGCTTCTGTTTCACTACTATCTTAAAGCTAATACTGCACGGGTTTAAATTCTTCCAGGTGTGACTCAACTCTGTGGAGATGAGCTTTTTTGGGATATTTTTTTTTTATCAGAGTGTCTAATGTGGACATTGTAGATAACAGTTTTCAGTTGATTTATGCAGTCTAATCAAGGCTTTCCACCCCTGGTCCTTACTATCTTTCACTACTCCCCAGCGTGGAAATATCAATCCATCTAGTTGGTCCTTAGTTCCATTATCCCTTAAGTATAAAATAGTTCAATATGGGTACCTTCTATAGTATGCCTTCCCCAGACCCTATTAACTTTAGTACCTTCTCTTGGCTAATTATTTTCTATGTATTCTGTATATAGCTTGCTTTGTATATATTTGTTTACATGTTCTCTCCCCGATTAGACTGTAACTTGATGGCAGGGACTCTCTTTTGCCTCTTTTTGTATCCCCAGCACTTAGCACAGGGCCTGGTACATAGTAAGCTCTTAATAAATGTTTATTGATTGATTGACTATAACCTTGCTGAATGCTGTTTTTCTCATCTAAAATATGGTTCTCCATGCTCTCAATAGCATCCTAATTGTTCCTCTACCATTGAGAATATAGCAGAGGCCTTACCTTTTCCAGGACATTTACCTCTTATCTCACAATCTGCTTACCCCAATTCTCTTAGAATACTTATTGTCCCTGTCCAGGGTCTCCAAAGTGTCTCCTCTCCCACATGCTAGACTTTGGCATGACCTCAGGGTATATAACCAAGTGAAGGGTGGGGTAGGAAGATAAATTCCCAGTCTTCCCACATATCCAGTTGTTAGGCTTGTCTCCATCACCCCTTTACTTCTTATCCTTCAGAATCCCCTCTTTTACCCGCTAACTCTGCTAAGAGCCTCTTGTGCCTGTGTGAGCCCCAGCCTTTCCCTGGACTGAGATGATAGGCTTCTCAAAGTGAATAAACACAAGTTGATGGCAACATTCTCCCTTGCCATCCATGTATACCTTGTCATCCTCCAGATTATCTATGGCTGCTGCTGGTGCTTCTTGGTGGGCTTTACACTCCTGAATAGAGCCCCCAGATCCTTCTACTTCTCCTCCCTCATGGTTTTGGTGGGACAGAGTGAGTCTCAAAGAATGAGCTGGTACAAATTAGTAAGTTTTTATCTACATTTCAGATCTCATTATGGTATTCCCTTCTACCCCCAACCCATCCATCTGTGGACTTCCCAGTTTCTATTAAGGGCACCACAGCCTTCTAATCACCCAAATTTGGAAGCTCAGTTTTATCCTCCTCACTCTCCCTGACCCCATATATCTAGTCAGTAGCTGAGTCTTGTTTATCCTATCTATCCCTTTCTCTCCACTCGGTTGCCAACCATTGTTAAGGCTCTCATTATCTCTTGCCTGGACAATTACAACTGCCTCCCTACCTTAAGTCTTTTCCCACATCACACAGCTACTGCATTGATACTCTTAAAACACAGGGCTGTGCATGTCATTCCCCTACTCAGACCAACAAGATAATTCATCCATCTCTAAGAAGGCAGCATTTAACTCCATCAAAAGTAAAGTGCAAGTGAAACTTAGAGAGATGCAGGTTCTTGGTTTGGTATGAAGGCAAATGAAATTCAATTTTACTCTGATAGTAGCAATCTAAAACACTTTTGTGTTGCCCTAAAAAGACTGTTTAAGGGCTGAAGACCTACGATACATTGCAACTGCTCTTTGCTGACAGAGCCACGTTGATTAGTGATAAGGACATGATGTTGGAGAGATGGGCTGAAAACTTTCGTAATATTCTCAACAGACCATCTTCAACTAATGCTGAAGCCATTGACCATATCCCTCTCTAGCTGAACTTACAATGGAAGGATAGGTTTTGAATGCCATTAGGCTCCTCTCGTGTGGCAAAGTGCATTGTGCTGATTCTGTTCCAGCTGGGATTTACAAAGGTGGGGGAGGGTGGTCCATTGGTCATACAAAAGCTACCTGAAATCTTCCTGGTTATATGGCAAGAGGTGGTTATCCCCCAGGACTTCAGGTATGCCTCCATTATCCATCTCTGTAAAGGAAAAGGAAATAGGTTGTCCTGTGACAATCACAGGGAAGTCTCTGTCTTACTGCTGGCAAGATTCTTGCCAGAGTTCTTAAAAAGCTAATCCTTCACTTTGGAGATGGTGATCTATCTGAGAGCCAGTATGGCTTCATTAAGGGTCAAGGAATGGTCAACATGATATTTGCTGCCCAACAACTCCAGGAGAAATGCCAGGAGGAGAATGGAAGTCTATACAATATTTGTTGATCCGACCAAGGCCTTTGATACTGGCAGTAGTGAGGGCTTATGGAAGATCATGGTAAAATTTGGTTGCCTGGAGAAGTTCATCAGTAGTGTATCCCTGTTCCATGACAGCATGCTTGCATGGGTGCCAGATAATAGACTATGCTTTCATGCTTTCCCAGTCATCAGTGGAGTGAAGCAGAGCTGTGTGCTTACTCCCATGCTTTTTAGCATGATGTTTTCAGTGTCAGATGCCTTCAGTGAGGATGAAAATGGCATCAAGGTCACTGACTGCACTGATGGTAAATTATTTAACTTGAAAAGTCTACAAGACAAGACTAAAGTGGAGGGAGAGTTGGTAGGCAACTTTTTGTTCACAGATGATTATGCACTCAATACAGCCTCTGAGGCCGAGATGCAACAGAGCATGGATTGATTCTCTGCCGCTTGTGTTTATTTTGGCCTGACAATTAATACCAAGAAAACAGGTTCTCCACCAAGCCAGTACCACACCATCCTTATGTGGAACCATCGGTTATAGCAAATGGAGAAATTTTGAATGCTGTGGATAAGTTCACTTACTTTGGCAGTATACTTTCCAGGGATGGCCACGCAGACAATGAGGTTGATGCATGCATTACTAGAGCTAGTTCAGTGTTTGGGAGGCTCCTAAAGAACGTGTGGGAGAAAAGAGGTTTAAGACTGCTTACCAAACTGAAGATCTACAGAGCCATTGTGCTGACCTCACTGTTGTGTGCCTGCGAAACCTGGATAGTATACCAGTGCCATGTTTTAATTGTCTGTTTGAATTGTCTTAGGAAGATTCTAAAGTTCACCTGGCAAGGTACTGGACATTGAAGTCCTTTTTCAAGCTAAACTGCCAGGCATTCAAACTCTGTCGCAGAGAGTACAGCAGTGATGGGCTGGCCACATTGTTCAAATGCCAAACCTGTGTTTGCCTAAAAGATTATTTTACTGAGAAGTCACATAAGGTAAGCACTCACAAGAAGCTCACGAGGACATTTTCAAGATCTCTCTGAAGAACTTTGGAATTGGTTGTGAGACATGAGAAATCCTGGCACAGGACGGCCCAGCGTGGGATGCCCACATCAAAGGAGCTGTACTCTGTTAGCCAAGTAGAATTGCAGTAGCTCAAAAGAACCATGAGATACGCAAATTTAGAGACGTTGTCACTCCAAATATTCATATGGACTATTTGTGCCCAATCTGTGGTAGAGCCTTCTGAGCTCATACTGGTCTGATCAGCCACAGTCACAACACATTGGTCCTTGACCCTGTCATATGATGTCATTTTGATCCTCTTCGAGCAGAAAGGACAGTAGCCTGACTGAAAACTCTAGTAGCTCCCTGTTAATTCTGGGATCAAATAGTTCATTTTTATTTCATCCTTTTTTAGTTTAATTTTTATGTAAATTTTATAATATACAAATATACATAATTGTTAGTATATGAGTAAGTAAATATACATATATTGGGAGTACATGCTTAAAAATTTTTTACTGACTTTTTTTTTAATTGATGGAGTGTGTGTGTGTGATAGTTAAAAGTTTGGAGACCATTGTTCCATACTTTGCTATTTAATTGCATAGTACCTTGCATTTGTTACTTAATAGTTTTCTGCAGGGGAGGGCACTATATTTTGTAGAGCTCTTATATCCCTCAGCAGAGAAATACTTTCAGAATAAATGAATTCAACCTAAGAACACAGATCCAATATTGTTCAGAACTTTGATTGAATTTGAAGTCAGTAATGAGCAGTCAGTTCAGTTTTTAGTGGATAAAAACATTTGAGGCAATTTTAAATGTTGGTTCTAATGATTGGATACAACTTATCAGATTTATAATTTGCCGAGATGTGTTTGTCTTGGTGTGAACATACATTCACAACCAAGGAATGGAGGAATACTATGGTGATTCTTTACCCGTAAACCAGAAGTTGCCCGTCTCGGGGATTCTTTGTATGTGTGTAGCTTTTGGAATCCTGGCAGCCGAACTGTGTTCCCTAAATGACTACGTTGTGCTGTCACATTAGGTACTTACGCTGAGCTTTGATATTGATTACTTGAAAGTGTATTTGACAATCTTGTCAACTACCAACATTTTATATATTCCCTAGCCTTTATCTTTATCTCCGTTTGTAACAGAATGTAGTTTAATTTTTAACCACACAGGGAAAAAAAAGACCATGGTGCTCAACAGTTTGGATAAGATGATTCAACTCCAGAGAAATACCAGTAACATCAGAAACATCTGCATACTGGCTCATGTGGACCACGGTAAGCAGCATGTCTGAATTATGTTATCTTGAGTAATAAAAAGTGGAAGAGGTATGCTGTGGACAACTTACAGGTCTTGATTTATACTAGTAGACTGGTTCATTTTCCAGGATGTAAGAGAAACCTGTGGCAAGGCAGTTTCATCAGGTCTGAGCTCTCTGACCTGTTATGGCACTGGTGTAGTGTATCATGAGATCTTGGCCTGGAGCAGCTGGGTGGCCCGCTGGTTAGAGTGCTGGGCCTGGAGTCACAAAGACTCATCTTTTTGAGTTCAAATCTGGCCTCAGATGCTTACACTAGCCATTTGGCCCTGGGCAAGTCACTTAACCTTGTCTGCCTCAGTTTCCTTGTCTGTAAAATGAGCTGGAAAGGATACTACAAAACACTGCAGTATCTTTGCCCAAAAAAACCCCAAATAGGGTCAGAAAGAGTCAGACACGACTGAAATGACTGAACAACAACAACAAGCAAAAGGATTATTGCCTTACGACTGAATGAGATCTCTGGGGCCCTCTCTAGTCTATGCCTCTAATTTTTGTAAATGAAGAAACATAGCTACTGACATATAAAGGGAGATGAGGTGGTTTCTCCCAGGTCATAGAGAGAGAGAGCACTGGAAGAGGTATTTGGATATAGGTCCTCTCACTCCAGAGTGGATGTTCTTTCCACTTAACCACTCTTACCTTTTTTCCATCATTGGACCACAGCCTGAGGATTCATGGAAAGTCATTGACAAGTTCTTTTTTCTTTTATACGAAGAAAGTTTTCAGAGTGTTTCATAATGTAGCATGACTGGTTATTTTTAGTATTATGCTGTTTTCTTTTTTCTGTCTTCTGTGGGGACATCTTGTAGGCTAAACTACTAATAATGCATTTTTCTAGGTGTGTCAGAAATTAGTTCTTCCTTGGATACTGTGTAAGAAAGGGTCAGCTGATAAAAATTTTGCTTTAGTAATTCCCAGAAACCCTCACCTAAGTCTAGTTGACTTGGCAATCTTTGTAGTTGGAGGGAGTATCTGCGCTGATAAAATTACAGCTCCTTCTCTTCAAGAATATCCGTGTTATCATTTCTGGCCTGTTCCTTTGGAGATTGGTAAGGGTTTGGTGTTTGTAGCTGCAGTGGTTCTGCTGAGTGAGAAGAAAGTAATGATCCTAACTAACAGTTTGGGTCAAGGAAAGTTTGGAGGTGGAAAAAGAAATCCTGATGGTTCACACGTTTCTATAGCACTTTACAAGTGATGAAGCTTTTTCCTCATAATTAGGAGGTGGGAAGTTGAAATTTTTTTATCCTCATTTGGAAAATGAGGAAAACTAAAGGTCTTAGAATTCAAATGACTTGCCCGAGTGTACATAGCTAATTATTGACGGAGCTAGGATCCAAACCCAGGTCTTCTGATTCCAAGTCCAGTGTCCTTTCTACTATTCCATCTCAGAGAATAATGTCAACCTAGTATGAATTAACTTTTCTGCATTCTCCTCAGAATACTGATGAATTTTATACAGGGCTCCTTCTGTCTTAAGGTGGTCTTCTAAAGGATCGTAACTTGATTTAACTTTCAGGTGGTCGGGGTGGTAGTTGTTGTAGTAGCGGAACGCTAAGGTTTGCCAAGCGATTTACAAATATTGTCTCCTCTGATTCTTACAACAGCCCTGTGAGATGGGTGCTTTTATTATGCCCACTTTACAAATAAGGGAAAACTGAGAGAGAGATTAAGTGATTTGTGTCTGGAGTCATACAAGCTAGCAGGTGTCCAAGGCAGTATTCAAACTTAGGTCTTTTTGTCCAAGGTCAGCACTCTCTCCACTACTATCTAGGCTCTAGTTTATTTATTTTAGGTGCTAGATTTTGGTCTAGCTTCACTTAACCAGTAACAGCTATGGAATCTTTCCTAAGCCACATCAAATGGTCAAGTACTTAGCCCTTAGGTAGACTCTCTTCTCTTACAGTTTTACTCCTTTTTTTTTTTTTAAAGAGTAAATGCCCTTTAATTATTTTATTTATAGGGAAAACCACGCTGGCAGACTGCCTCATATCTAGCAATGGAATCATCTCCAGTCGCCTGGCTGGGAAGGTAAGATGTTATTTTATCATGGATGTGTATTCATCAGGCTATTACAGTATTCAGCAAGTATTTATTGAGTATTTCCCATAGGCTTAGCAATCTGAAGGTGTGAAAGGTGTCTGAAACATGGTTCTTGCCCTAAAGAAGTTATGATCTGGTTAGGAAGATAGGCTGGTACACTCAGAAAACAATAATATGAGGAGGAATTTGATTTAAGTACAAACATGAATGGTAGAGCGAGTTGTTGCCTTAGGGGTTGAGGATGGTTTGATGATTAAAAAATTACATTGGATCATAAAGAATAGGTCTTGTATTGTTGGGACATTGGAGAAAAGGTTGATGGACAATATGAACAAAAGCAGTGAATGTGATGTAGTTAGAGAACAGTAAGACCATCTTGCTGAGAATGGAGTTTTTTAGGAGGAGGTTAGTTCAGTTAGTATTGTGGGACCCATATTGAAGATGGCCTTGAAAGCTGTTTTGAAGAGTTTCAACTTCATCCTGTGTGTAATGGAAGACAATTGAAACCTTTTGAACATGGCAGCAACAGGATGAAATTAATGTTTTAGAAAGGTTGATCTGTTGGTAGTGATCTCTAGGATGGATTGCATAAGAAGAGAGAGAGGCCTGTTAGGCTTTGTTTTCAGTAATCATGTCGTGAAATTCTGAGGATATGGTGGTTAGGTGGCAGTGGTGATGGAAAGGAAGGTATAAATACAAGAGTTATTTTTAAAGCAGGAATCACTTTGCTTCCAGCCCTTAAGGACCTTGCCATTAGGGAGACATGATTTGGTAACTGATTGAATGTTGAAGTCCAAAGGAAAAGGGAAGAAATAAGAGGATGAAAAGGTTTGGGGTCTGGGAAACTCAGAAGAGTGGGGCAGTAAGAGAAATAGAAAGTTTGGGAGAAGTGAGTTTGAGAAAGTATATGATGAATTAGGTTTTATAAGAGTTGAGTTGGGGTGATACATATCCAATGGACAATCTCAAGTTAAAATTAGGGAAGTTTAGGGAAATACTGTCTCTGGCTTCACATGTTGACCAATATCTCTTTTGGACTCTTTCTTCTCCTAGGATCAGTGGCAAAGAATAGTGCCTAGTGTGGTTGAAGTTGGTGAGGTCAGGTGAAACGTCAGGACTATAGATACAGAAAATATCCATAAGAGAGGATTCTTCTCTCTTATGAGTACCAACTCTTCTTCCAGTGGTGATTTTACTCTGAGCTTCTTGGGCCGCAGGGCTGTTTGTAAAGAATTACGAATGCTATTGAATTCCACTATTTTCAGAGGACTCTAGAGTCTGTCCTCAGAGAATGAAAAGAATCTCCCGTGTAGTTTTGAAAATATCATCATGATAGAGCTGGTAGTTCAAAGCATAAAAATGGGTCAGCTCTCTGAGAAAGAACATATAAAAAAAGAAGGGGAGAGGATCAAGGATTTGGGTATTAGAGATTGCCTCTATTTACAGGCCAGAAGAAGCTATGGGATTAAGTGGTGATAGTAGAACCACATTAGGCACTATTCTTAGCCATTGTTTCTAGCAGAAGAAAGAGGCCTCACCACTAAACGTGTATGAAGCCAGATACAGTATTTCCCTAATAAACTCATTTAAAACAGTTTGCTTTAAAACAGTTATACTGGAACCAATACTAATAATGATATTGAATAATAGAAGAAATGCTTCTGTTTCCAGTTTCTAAATGTTCATATGTATAAAATATCTCACATCAGGTATTAGAGTAAAGTAGAAGATTAAAATTAATTTTGGGAAAATGTGTAGTAAGTGCAGATTTTTTTCACAGTAGTAATAGTAAAGTTTTACATACTTCAATTTGTTTTATTTGTTAATTCTATTAATTTTTAAAGTTCCTAAATTCATTTTAAATTACATAGTAAAAAAACACTTTACTGTAAAAACTCACCATTCACCATATTACACTTTAAATCAATGAGGTGAATACATACATACATGCACATATGTGTGTATAGTGTCTGTGTATGTAAGCTGTTGGGTTTTTTTGTTTTTTAGTTAAGATATATGGATAGCCGAGAAGATGAACAGATTCGAGGAATCACCATGAAATCGAGTGCCATTTCCCTACACTATGAAAAAGGTAAATCTAAGAGCACATAATTTAGTCTCTTGCTTTTTTTGGGGGGGGGTTTCCCTTTTGAATTAATTTGCTCATTATAGCAATTCCTTTTTTGAAAAATTAAAACACTTTAAATTGATGATTGCCTCTTGAAGTGATCTACTTCTCAATTAATGCTTATTTCTCAATGGACTTGTAGGGCTATTGTCATTCTATGAAATTTGTAAAAATAACTAGTATAGTATTGAAGACATAAAACTAGAATTTTTGGCAGGTGAAAATGTGAAAGAGGAAGATATTGAAGCTGTCCTCAGACAACATAGAGGAAGAGTGATAAAGCACTTTCTGATGGTGATTTTCCTGTACATTAGCACTGTATAGCACCTGTCAATCAGATGCCTACTTCTGCTGAAAGGGTCCTTCCTTTATTTCTACTGCATGGAATATCTGTATGGTCACAGATAAAAACTAGCACATGTGTTGGTCATAGAAGGAAGTAAACCTCTTATGGTTACCCTATAATAGTAAGAGATAACAGTTGATCATGAGACCTGGATTCAAGTCCTACCTATAACACATGCTGGATCTATGACCCTAGACAAATCATTCAACCTCTCACAACTCCCTAAGACAGATGAGTTGCAGAGCAGGTAGTAACCAACGTTGACAGAGGAAGATCCTCACTCTGAGTTCCCTACACCAATGAAGTTACAAGCACCATCAAAAAAAAAGTAGTAAGAAAGCAGAAGAGGACAGTGGTTGAGGGACAAGCTTTTAAGTTATCTCTGCCCATCGGAAGACTGGTAGGAAGAGGAGAGTGCTGCAAAGAAGCCTCTTTTCTTTCTTTCTTCTGGGGTCTGTCACTCCTACTCTGTTTTTTAAAGGCCACATGAAATCCTGCTTTCCCCAGTCTTCCTTCCTTCCTTCCTTCCTTCCTTCCTTCCTTCCTTGCTTCCTTCCTTCCTTCCTTCCTTCCTTCTTTCCTTCCTTCCTTTCTTTCATCATAGCCTTACCAGGGGTGCTCTGCCCAAAGGAATGTAAATTTTGACCACTGAAACCTCACAAGATGTCTTGGGATTTATAGGCTAATTTTTTTTCTTAAGGACCATGCCTTAAACTAGACCTGCACAACTTTGCAGTAGGTAGGGGGCCAAAATTAAAATAGGCTAAAATTCTTCTGACCGCAGATAGGTTAGACTACAGACAGACTGTTGATGGTGGGTAACAAGAGAGTGAGCAGTGGCAACCATACATTTTTGGAGGGCTGCCTAAAATCCTTTGCATACGTTGTGCAGGCCTGCCTTAAAGCCAAATCACTCTGGCTCTCATTGATTGGCCAACAGTAGGTCCCAGGCCAAGCCACACTTCATCATTATTTGGGCCCTGATTGACTATGAGTGAATGTAAATACCAATTGTTTGTGTTTTGGTCAGAAACCCTGAGGGTCTTCCCTTTCCAGATTGATTTTTTTTTTGAACTAGGTACAAGAGGCCATTCTCTGTCTCCTTTCTTACCTAGCCTTAACCACTGAATGGGCATTACATCAGACAAACCTAGACGTGGGAAAGACCTTAGCTTAAGGCCAAGTGCATCCCCCACTGCATCCAGGGCCATCTCCAGTCATCTTGATCTATATCTTGCCACTTAAGCCAGATGACTCTGGAGGAAAAAGTGAGGCTGATGACTTTGCACAGCCTCCCTCACTTAAATCTAATTCATTTGCATGTCATGGCATCATGTCCCTGATGTCATGGTCCTCTTTGAGAACAAAGGACAAATAACAACCCAGTCCTCCTCTCTCCCCTCTTTCCCACAATAGGAAGGAGTCTTTTTCTCAGAATTCTTATGTCTATTTGTTTGTAATTCTTTCCTGACAGTTATTAGATTCTACCATAGTTATTGGTGTTTTTGTTCTGTCTTCACTTCTGATTCTTAATTTCTAGAGGGCCAGGGCCCTTATACACCTTTGTCTTTCCCTTATCACTTAGCATAGCACCAGGCACATTATGTGCTCAGCAAATATTTGTTGAGTGAACTAATTTTATAAGATATAAAGAGGCAGAATAGAAGTATAAAGCTAAATGCCTAAAAAAAGAAAAAAGAAAAAACCCCAGGAATGTTACAGATCAAAAAAGTTAGAATGGACTTAATGTCTAAAAAATTTGAATTAGAAGGTGAATATGTTAAAAAGTTCTTTAAAAGGCTTTAGGAAAGAAGCAAATTAACAGAGTGAATCAGAGGAATGTTGTGTAGGATATCTTTTTGTGATTTTTTAAAAGCTGCCTTTTAAAAGTTAGCATGACATGGGCAAGTGTAAGTTTTATACAGTTCTCAGCACATGTGCAACAAAACTAGAGGTGCGCGGCAGCTAGGGGGCGCAGTGGACAGAGCACTGGCCCTGAAGTCAGGAGGATCTGAGTTCAAATATGGCCTCAGACCAAACACTTGACACTTACTAGCTGTGTGACCCTGGGCAAGTCACTTAACCCTAATTGCCTAAAAATCAAACAAAAAAACCAAAACAAACAAAAAAAAAAAAACTAGAGGTGCTGCCTTTGAGAACCATTGATTTAGACTTTTGAAAAATTTATTTTTCATTTGTGAAATAACAAGCATTTTCTTAACATAGTAGAATAAAAAAAGATGATCGTACATGAAACTGCTAGTCCATTATGTACAACTTGCTATTCCTTTAAAACATATTATACAGTTATCATATAACTCTTTTCCTCCCCCCCATCTTAGAAATGGCTACCCTTAGACACAAATATGTACTCTTAAAGATTAAGTGATTTTTTGCTAATAGACCCTAGTTTTCTCAATAATCTTTGCCTTCATGGCCAGATAACTATCTTTCATCATCATTATTTAGTAAGTGTCTTTTGAATTGCTTTTGAAATTAGCAGATTTTTATTTACTTAGTAATGAAATAGTATATAGTGCAATTTCTGGCTTGGTAAATATTGGTTGAATTATCGATGGTATCTGCTTAGTAGGATCCTAGATTTCATATAATTAATAGCTTGAAGATATTTTATTCATTGACTTTTTTAAACCTTATAACCAGCATTTTAGTATTATAGATTGAGAGTTGGAAGAATAGAATTGGATGTTATAGAATAGAAAAATAGAAATGTAACCCTGTGGGTCACATGTTAACTGAGAAAATCTCAAATTAACTTTATCTGTATTTTTATTTATTTTGTTAAACATTTGTAGTTAAACTTTAATCTAGTTCAGGCGGCAGAGACCTACATTCTAAAAAAAGTGATGGCCAGGGAGGGTGATTTGGTCTGGAAAATATGGTTCTAGTAATTGATTAACAGCTCTTTCCAAGAATTATAGTGTTGATTTGATTATTGCCTAGAGGTGGAAAGGAGTAAGGATAAGACATTATGGTCAGGATCTCAGTGCAGTACAGTGGTATTTCTGAGACATGGTGCATATGGTGAGCTCTTGCCAATCAATGAACTAGCCACCAAGGAGAAGCCCGAGGACCCAGGGTGGGACTTAGAGCAGCATGTCAAGGAGGGTCTAAGACAGGTCAGAGCCAGCTGCATGGTGCAGAGGTGGGTCTAGGATTGTCCAGAAACAGTGAACTCTTAACCAGTCAAACCCGGGGCATTGAGGAGAACTGACTTGTTCACTTCTCTTTATTTTAAGAAAGCCCTCCTTTTTGGATCTGTGTCTATGTTTAATGAATAGTGGTGATGGGAACTTTTTTAATAATTTCACCTCATTTGAAATGGGGATGCTTCACCTCATCATTTTACTGGTCACAAAGGAGATCTTTTGACTGGTGCGTGTGACAAATGAGCAGGCTCCTTAAACAATTCTCCATGGCTTACTGAAAGACCAGCGGACTCTTGCAGGAGAGTGAGAGATTCTTTTCTCTTAACACCTTTCTAATAGTAATAGGGGATCTCATCTGGAAGATATTTCCTTAGATACTATGGTTGCCCCTTCTCACCTTAGCTGTTTTTCCTTTTGCCTAGAAAGCTAAAATGTTCTTAATGCTTGTGGTTAGCTTGTTCCTTTTGTAATAGAAAAGTTGTTCAAACAGAAGAAGGCAGAGACTTTTGTTTCTGAATGCTGTAGCAGGAGTTAATGCTCTCAAGGTGGTGTTGGAAACTCTAACACACTTATAGTTTAAAATTTTGTCTCCCCCAAAATGCCTTCTGTATATGTATTCTAGGCTAGCTACTGCAGAAGATACACATTCTGGTTACTAATAAATAGTTCATTTTTTATGGTATAGTTATTATTTTTTTAAATTAGGGAGGAAAGGAAAGAACATGCATTTAAGAGCTTACCATATGCCTGGCACTGTGCTGAGCATTTTACAAATGTTATTTCATTTAATCCTCACAATGACCCTGTGAGGTAGGTGCTAAATTAGCTCTATTTTACAGTTGAGGAAATTGTTACAGATAGAGGTTAAGTAACTTACTGGCCTGGAGTAAAACCACAGTAAGTGGAAGTTGGATTTTTACTCCAGTCTTTCTGACTGCAGGCGCAGCACTCTAGCAATTTAGTTGCTCCTAGGCACAAATAAACTTTAACTATAAAGTTATTTAGTTTTCTGTTATTTGATGAGGGAAAAAATCGAATAAACATTGGATGAGGAATTCGGAATCCAAGACTATCACTAGTTGTGAGACCTTGGGCAAGTCACTTAACTTTCAATGATTCCTTTATGTGGGTGACTTTTAAAATCTTTATCTCTTTCCCTTTATCTCTTTCTCCCTCCTCCCAACTTCCCTTCTTTTGTTAATGGCACCATTTCTTCTGTTACACAGGCTTGAATTTTAGGCTGTCACCTTTGACTCTTCTTTTTACCTCACTCTCATGGCCAGTTTATAGTCAAGTTTTATAGATTTTATTCTTGTGGTATTTTTCATATTATTCTGCAGTTCCTGTTGCTTACATAATAAAATTAAAAATTCTCAGCATGACCCTCCTCTCCACTTTGATTCCTAAGCTGTATTTCCAGCCTTATCTCCTAGTATTCCCTTATGTGGACACTACCTTACTGCTCTGTCAAACTTGCATTAGCCACTGCTCCTACTGGGTCCTTTGTTTCATTCCTCTCTGCCTTCGCCATGCTGTTTCTACTTGCTAGAATTACCTCTTCTCTGGTTGTCTGCCTGTTCAAGTCTTGCCCATCAGCCCTCCAAGCCTAGAGGCCTTCTCTTCCATCTATATTCTGTTGTGTCTCCTGATATAAATGTGATCATTTCTTCCTTCAGAACTTCTCAAGAGTACTTGGTATGCTCCTCTCCTGGTATTTATCATATTCTGCTTTGTATGGAAAACATTTATGTATGTGTCTTTATTTGATCTATATAATTATGTTCCCCAAGGGTAAAGACTATGTTTTATTTATTTTTATATATTTCAAAGCACCCTACACAATGCCTTTCTTGGAAGGGAGTACCTGATAAATATTTGTTGAGTTTCAGTAACATTCTGAAGCTAGTTCCTTCACCTATAAAGTGAAAGAGTTGGACTGGATGGTTTCTTGGTCCTCTTAAGCATCTATCCCTTCAAATGTATGTGAACTATGAAGTAATGAGGGTAGTTTTCATGTGGTTTGTAGAATTAGTTATTATTTTGTTATTTCATATAACAGCAGATCACATTCATTTATTTTTTAGTTATGAATATACTTTATTGACCATTATCTGACTTGAATATTTTCTTTCCAACATTTCCAGAAAAATAGCATTATAGATTTTGTCAAATGCTTTGTTAAAATCTTGATAAACCCTATAGTATTCCCCTTGTCATCCTATTTAGGAATTCTGTTAAAAAAAACTTTAAAAAGGAAATAAAGTTGTCTGTTATGAAATATTTTTAATGATTGGATCTTCATAATCACCACTCCCTTTTCTAGACGTGCTATAGAATTCAAATGAATTGGCTTTTAGTTGACTAACTGTACTCTCTTCCTTTTATCAAATAAAAGAAGATAATTAGACATTTTCTAGTCTTGTGATAACTCTTCCATTTTTTAGCCAAAAGACATTATTTGATTTTAAAAAATACATAATTTTGTTGCCTTCTCTTTTTTTTAAAAATCACTTTGGTTTCTGAATGTTTTCCTTCCCCTCTCTTCAGATAATATTTCTATAGCACTTTTAAAGAACTTTACAGATTGCTCATACATATTCACTGGTATTTATAGAGGAGATTGTGTTGCTTCTCTTTAAGTCTGTCATCTCTATGTAAAGAGTCCCCATTATCTGTACTGGTGCAATATTAACTATTCTGTGAAACTCTCTGAAAATCTTGCCTCATTTTTCTTCATATTAATACTGTCATTAGATACTAAAATTTTATTTAAAGCCACCGGTTTTTTTGGGTCAGATTTTTGAAACTGATATTAGGGTTCAAATGTTTCTAGACAAATGATATTAGAATTTGAGAGAGATATCACAAAATGGGAAAGAAATCCTGGCCACGAAGTAGTTAAAACATTTAGTCGTACATGGAGCCTCTGACCTACTATGTGGTTTTTCATTGAGCATTAAAGGGTTAACCTTTAATTGTGAAGCAGTTGTTATAGAGCACCAGCAGGAATAACGCAGAAATCCCTCCATTTCTGCAAGTTGTTGAAGGTATGTATGGAAGGAAAGTTACATTTGTGGAGCTTATTCCCCAAGGTCACTGTTTGGAACATGGCATTTGAATGAATTAAGTCTGTCACTGGAATAGTATTATCTTGGGACTCTCTTAAAATGCTATTATAGGTCCTAAGCAGAGATATGTTTCCCACTTTGAGAAAGGAATGTATTATTTTGCTGTTAGTAGTCCAACACTGGAATCAGAAGAACTGGCCACAGTCAAAGCTTGGCTTAATAAAGTGAGAGAAATTCTGTGGAAAAAGAGCTACTGTTTTATTCATTATTCATTACTGAATAAAACATCTTTATACCTGAAGTGCAGTAGGGATTTCTCAGAATTTTGGGTGATGAGAATTTGTTGACAAGAGAAAAGACGGCTTATAAGACTAAATCTTTTTAAAGTAATACGTATCATATAAATGTAACAAAAGAATCAGGTATTGGTGTTGGTATGACATAAAGTAAATTGTAATGTAACTAGTTTGCTACGCTCACCATTATATGTTATGATGCAGAATAGCTTCTGAAATTTCAAAGTTCTGTAAAGCAACCTGAATTGTATTTATTTTTGTTATTTCTGAATAACTAATATGAAAAGAGGTTTTTTAAAACTTAAATTTGTCCTTATTGAATTTTATGAATTTGGCTAAAATAAAATAGATTTGATAGCAAATGGTTTTTATCAAAGATGGCTTAAAGTGAGTGAACAAACCCAAAACACCTCCTTGTGATTGATTATAGTTGCACATGAGGCTTGACTATAAAGTTGGGAGATCAATTTCACAAGTCATATGTGAAAATAAGTCACATCTTTGATCTTTCAGTAAAATCCTGTGCTTTTTCCCTTTGAAAGGAGATCCCTCAGAAAATAAATTGAGAAGGCAGGGTGATATTGAAGAACCTCCAATTGGGAATTAAGAAATTTGAGCTCTTCCAGTTTTATCACTGACTCTGTGATATTGTGCATATCGCCCCACCTATCTAGGCCTCACATTCCTCATTTGCAAGACAGAGCTTGAACTAGCTGTTTGTCCCTGGGCAAGTCACTTAACCCTAACTGCCTTGCAAAAAAAAAAAAGAAAGAAAGAAAGAGAAAAAAAGAACAGAGGTTGAAACTAATGATCTTGAAGGGCCCATCTCATTTTAAAACTATGATTCTTTGAATCTACGATCTCATCTCATAGAAAGCTATTATTTGGAAGAACTGCTGCCTATCAATTATGGCATAGGAGCTGCGAGTAATGGGAACTTGCATATTTAGTTTCCAAATTTTTTTCCACAGATTTCCACAGTTACCACTTTTCTTTTTGCTATGAAATTAGAGCCCTCTTGCTTAATTATGACCAAAGGACAAATGTGAGAATTGGTGATATGAAACTTGTTTATAAAGGAAACTGAGAAGTCTGAAAGTTTCTTATCTCAGGTTGTTGGACCCTAGAAGCTGTTAAAAGCTTATGACTGCTATCAGATTTTGGAATCCCCCTATATTTGCTCTTTAGATTTCCTCAAGGTTTTATACTTCAACTTTTTTGTTTGAGGATGTTTTCTATCAGGATCTTGGTAGAATACAATTTCAGTCTCTCTCTCCACATTCCCTTTCCTTTCCAGTTTATTATGGCCATTTTAGTGGTGAGGGACCTGAACTTTGTTATCCTTTTAAGGTGAATGTCAGAATGTCAGACAGGGATTTGCCCCATGTAGAATGCCAGACAGATCAGAAGAGGTCATCCCATTTACAACTAATTTTACATCAAGAATTAGGAGTCCTCAATTTGGGACAGGAGATAACAGCAACTAAACTTAGGGTGAGGACTAATTCTTAAGTTTTGATTCATGGCTTTTTGTGAAACTCCTTTATCAGTGTGGAATTTCTTTGCTTTTGTGACTAAGCACCCGTGTTGAAATCTTCTACTCTGCATGTTTTTAAAATACATGTATTTTTAAAACTTGATTTCAGATGATCAGGAGTACCTCATTAATCTAATAGACTCCCCGGGACACGTGGATTTCTCCTCAGAAGTATCAACTGCCGTCCGAATTTGTGATGGCTGCATCATTGTGGTGGATGCTGTGGAAGGAGTCTGCCCACAGGTGATGTACAGTGAGAAACTATGGCATTTACTGGGAATAGCAGAGGGAAATAACGAACCTTCGGAAAAATCAGAGTAGTAACTAACTCACATTTCCGTAGCATCTTAAAGTTTACAAAGTGCTTTCTTACAACAACCTTGTGAGCAAGGTAGTACAAGTTTTACAACCCCAGTCTTTGCAGATGAAGTAACTGAAGCCCAGAGAGGTGAATTAATTTGCCCATGGTCACAGAGCTAATAATTGTCAGTCAGCCGGGGTTTGAACTGAACTCTTCTGACACCAAGCCCAGGGCTCCTTTTACTACCCCACAGCTGCTTTGGTCAGCTTTACACTCTTGCCTAAGGATTAGCACAGTGTTCTGGATCAAGTGAATTATATATAATATTTACTTGTATAGAAGATATGCCCAAACTCTGATGTTAGAACTGAAAGGATTTTAAATATCATCTAGTCTGGCTTACTTTATAGATGAGAAATGAGGCCACTGAGTCTCAGGTAGCTCTAATTAGGTCCTGGACCTTAATTCCTACCAACTCCCTCATTTTTTCAAACGACTTTAGAGAGGCAACTTGGCTTGCCCTAGATTACCCCCAACAGACAAGCCTTGGTGGAGGTGGCATTAAGACTCCGGTCTCCTGAGCCCCTCCTTGATGTTCTTCTTATTCTTCTACACTGCCTCTCATAACAGAAATTTGAAATCAAGGAAAAAGTAGTTTAAAAAAATTCTATTCTCACTCTTGGTGCTTAAGTAGTTGTCACATTCTCAAAGGCAGCTTCTGAACTAAGAAGCCCCCCTGGAAAATGAGAAATTAGGGGTGCATGGATGATATGAGCAGAATATTTTCCTTTTTTTTTTGGTGAGGTAATTGGGGTTAGGTGACTTCCCCAGGGTCACACAGCTAGTGAGTGCTAGTGTCTGAGGCTAGATTTGAACTCAGGTCCTCCTGACTCCAGGGCTGGTGCTTTATCCAGTGTGCCACCTAGCTGCCCTAGAATATTTTCTTTGGGTCAGGCTTACTGCCTTGCTGCCATTGATGGGTTGCACATCTTGAAGTGAATACCAACATGGCAGCTTTGCATCAGAGCCTACTGCTTTGGAGATCCGAGACAAACAAACCACTTGGGCATCAGATTAAGCAAGTTGTTTGTTTGTTTTCTCTCTTTTTAGAAGATTATCCTATTTTTTGATGAGTAGATTGATTCATAAATGTGAAATGATGAAAGGAGCTCAAGATTCCTTTTTTTCCTCCTTAAAAACAGTACGTTTGTGGAATACTTCCTGTGTAGCTAACCCTCTTCTTATCTGTAGAGCAGAGGGTCTGGAAGCAAGGGGGGAAGCTAGGAGGCCCCAGCCCTGCTGAAAAGGTAAGATTCTCTCCTAGGATGGTGACTACAGGCATGGGAAGGAAGCGACCATGGATGGAACAGAACTGAAAAGGATGAATCAGTGTGCTAACTGAGGTGGAATGCTAGGGAGAGAGGCTAGTACACGATTTTGAAGAATGGTGGGCCCAGAGACACAAATGGATGTTTGATTTTCAGCACTGAGTTTGAGGTGGAGCCATCATGTGGAAATTTGAGCCATTTTTCTGCTCTTGCTGTTTCATCCATTTCACTTTTCATAGTTTTCCTGGGGCTTCCCGAGGTCCTTTCTGTTCACTATAACTCCTAGAGTGATTTCTTCTGATTTAATTTTACCTGGCTTGTCTTCCATCTTCTCTTGTTGTCTTTACTGAAGTCTATGACTTCTGTCAGTAAAACTTCTCTTCTTTGGCTTTGTGCACTTAGTCCTTTCACACCCAGCTTTGAGACCATTGCTTTGATTGCTCTTTTGCATCAGGACATGTCTTAGAATTGGATTTTGGTTCAAAACCTGTTTCTGCCACTTACTGTGACCATCTCATTTAAAAACTGAGAATAATAAGATAATGTATTGTCTGTTTTGCAGTTTTTTGTCAGCATCAAACAAGATGATTCACACAAAAGCACTTTGTAAATTGTAAAGATCTTATCACTGTGAGCAGCTGTTATCACTAATGGAACATCTCCCTAACCCCCTCCTCCCAAATTTGTCTCTAGTTCCAATTTTAGCTTAACACCCACCTTCAGGAAAATTTTCCTGATTAACCCAGTTCCATTCTTCTAACCTTTCCAGCAAGTAAATGACTCCATGATCTTGTGCATACCCAGTAAGCACTGAATTTGCTGACTCACTTATGTGGATTGGATTTTGATCAGATAGGATGAAATGTATTGATTATTTTGCATTGAAGGTTTTCTTGATGTGGTTTAATTCTGTCAAACCATAAGCCGTATTTGCATGTGTGTTTCTGTTAGACGCAAGCAGTCCTTCGACAAGCCTGGCTAGAAAACATCCGCCCAGTTCTAGTGATCAATAAAATAGATCGTTTGATAGTGGAACTTAAGTTGACCCCTCAGGAAGCATATTCTCACCTGAAGAATATCTTAGAACAGGTACTGTATCAAATTATACTTTTGGTATCAAACTGGGGAGGTCACAGGAAAGTTTAAGAGGGGTAATTCCAGAGGTAAAAATTGGTGTGATGTATGGGATAATATCAGTAAAACCAGAAGAAGCTTTCTTCAGAAAAAATCAGGATTCCGAATATATTTGTAAGCAGCCACTTCTGGGAGGCTTTTGCCTCCCTGTAATGGAGGGGTACGTGGTCTGGGGGAAGGCAGTAGAGTGGTGGGAAGATTGACCTTGAGTCTCTCAAAGTACATTTTAAGATGTTTTTCTATCACTATCATTTAGCACAGTGCTTTGTATATAGTAAATGATTAAATAGATGCTTATTCATTCATTAAATACCTTAAAGTTTGCTATACAAAAGTCAAAATGATCAAAACCAAACCAAATCCAAAAAAAACATAAAAGAACTTCCTCTACTATCTGTAGGTCATAGATCACCATTTTGAAAACAGTATGACTGGAGTGAAGCGGTTCTTTTGTGCTGTCAGATTTATCAATGAGAGCTGCTGTTTGGGTGTGTTGGGAAATAAAATGAAAATTTGCTAGAGGGTTTGACAGTGTTTATTTGTATTAAAATCACAAAATGACCTCTCAGAATACCTCTGATTTGGTTTTACTATGGACAATTCAAACTTGATAATATCTTATTCTAAGTAAAGTCAAGAATATCTTTGATAAGGTAAGGTAGTCATACATTTTCTTCATGAATTGAATATGAATTGGCAGCATCCTTTTGTTACTTCAGAAGCTAGCTACCTGGAGTTAGAGCGTGTGTACCCCACAGTGGATATCCCACAGTGGCCATCTCTTACCATCTGGATGACATTTTTGTATTTTACCTGTCTTCCCTAGATTAATGCACTCACTGGGGCTCTTTTTACTTCTAAAGTCTTAGAAGAATGGGCCAAAAGAGAAACCGAATCCCAAGAGAGTTCAGATTCTGTACCAGGAGACCAAGTTTATGACTGGAGTGCAGGCTTGGAGCACACAGATGATTCTCACCTTTACTTCTCACCAGATCAGGGAAATGTGATATTTACAAGTGCAATAGATGGATGGGGCTTTGGGTAAGTCTGTTTGAATGCCGTAGAGGTTATAGTCATAAGAAAAATAAAGACTTTTCAACATTACTGTTATTAACTATTTTCTGCTACACCAGGAGGCAGTATGGCAATGAGCAGAGACATGGGTTAGAACACTGGCTCTGAACACTAGGTGGGTAGCTATGGGCAAGCCAGTTCACATCTCTGGGGTTCAGTTTCTTAATCTGTGAAATGCGAATGCTAATACCTATAGTACCTACCTAAGAGAGTTGTAAGGTATGAGATGGTACACGTAAGGCACTATATACCTATTAAGATTATTATTACTCTGCTGTCGTTGATATTATTACACTATGAGTTAATTCTTTTACAATCCTTCTGAGACAGATAATAGTTAATTCTCCTTGAGCTCTTTTTTAAATGTCATTTGTATTAAGTTTTTGATTATCCAAGTTAATACAGGCGAAGAGGACGTGAATAAACTAAAATGAATGATTATCCAAAAATACTTTATATTTGATTTTGTAATGCATCTTACAGCTTTGGTATAAGCCAACTTATAATGCATTTTGAGCGATTATGTTTTCTTCAGTCAAATAGCAGTAGAATTAAGCTACAAAGAATACACTGGAAAAGAAGGATTCTGTAACACAGTTGTTTTGAGGCATGTGGTCTAGAAATGTTTTGCTGATTTTTATTTTCATAATTTTATAAATTTGTTTTAATAAAAACATTTTTGAGCACCTATCACATGCAAAGTGAAAGGAATAATGCAGTGTGTATGCTTTTTCTGGTTCTTTTCTATTTGGCTTCTCTGTGTTTTGACCTTGATTGTATGCTGTTCAGCTTGTAGAATAGGCTTGGTGATATGAACTTTTTATACTTTTGTCCCTTCAGGTTCCCATACCAAACTATCTCAAACGTTGCAGCCATCTAAAAAAAATTCCAACAAAATTCAAACCATCCTCCAAAACAAGAATGTATACAAAAATATTTAAGAGCTTGTAGGGAAAAATCATCCTTCTGGGTTCAAAGCCCTTCTTTTCCCTTGACAATTGATGGTAAAGAGCATATATTCATCTTTATTTCATCTAGGCTTATAAAACTAGTCATAAAATTTCATTACATAAAAATGATTAGTATTTCCTGTAGAGTTTCTTAACTAGATTTAAATTAGTTTGTCTTCCAGGAGCACATCCCATTTGATAGTGGTAAGAAGTAAGAGGAGTAAGAAAGAGAAGAGGGAGAAATGAATACAAGAGAACGTGGGCATGAAAATTTTTCTGCAAACAGTTCAGGAAGTAGATTATCTTCATGTGGATAATTCAGGGTTAACTGTCTAAACTTCTCACTGTTCAAACTTCAATACTTAGGGCTTTTTCATTAGTATGGAAAACAAAGCATTAAGCGATGCTAGAAATCTGTCTGCATTTGTCTGTGATCATCTCCCAAACTAGGTAATACAACCATTATGACACTGTTTGATTTCTGAGAAACTTTATATAGACAGCTTTTTTTTCTTTAAGTGACTTTTGCCACCAGTAAAATAAGTTATTTACAGGCAGTGAAGGCAACATAGAATAATGGATGGGGTGCTGATCTTGAAGTTAGGAAAATTTAGGTTAAAGTTACGCTTTTGCTGTATACTAACTCTGTGATCCTGACTGAGTCACATAATTTCTCAGTGACTGTAGACTTTTTATTTTAAGTAATATTTTATTTTTGCCCCAGTTACATGTAAAGACAATTTTTAACATTTATTTTAAAAAATTGTGAGTTCTAAATTTTCTGTTTCCCTCCGTTGTCCCCTCCCTGATATGATAAGTAGTTTGATATAGGTTATTTATACGTGTGCAGTCATATAAAACATATTTCCGTATTAGTCATGTTGTGAAAGAAGACATAGACCCAAAGGAGGAAAAAAAAACCCTGTGGACAACTTTTTAAGATTATTATACTGAGCAGAATTGCTGTAGAAATGCATTGGTAAAGGGGGCTCCTTCACCAGAATTTCCATATACCAGTGAAAGTATAAGTTTGAAACAAACAAGCAAACAAATTAGACCAATAATTTAAGGGGATTTTAATTTTACTTTGCAATTGTATCTCAGAGAATGAAAAAAAGAAATTTCTAAAAATTAAAAAAGATCATGGATGATAGTACTATTACTTTTAAAAAAAAAAAGGCAACCCAAGAAATCTTAGCAGCTATCAATCAGATGCCTACTTTCTTATCTCTGTGTGAGGATACTCGATGCATTTAGGAGTACCAGTGATTGAAATGAGAAAGGCAAGGCAAAGCTTCTGCAGACAGTTCTCTCTAGCAAACTGTGTCTTCCCAGACACATAGTTGATTGAAAAGGGGCCATCCTACAGGCCTTGCCTGCATATTCTCTTTAAATCCTGCATATAGAATCACTCACTTCCTTTAAGGTGGTGCTCAAGCACCGTATTCTGCATGAAGCCTTTAGCAACTACCTTGTATTTAAGTTCTTTGTATATTTATTAATTTTATATTTATGCTGTATATGCTTATATATGCACTTGTTGTTTTCCCATTAGAGTGTAAACTCCTTGTGGGTAGAATTGTCTTATTCTTTATCCCCAGCTCCTTCACCATGCCTAGCACATAGTAGGTTTTTAATAAATATGTGTTGATTGTTTGCAGTTGCCACCCTGCCAGGTTGCTAATGGCTTGCCATTATTACATATTTCATTGCAATATAAAAGGACGGGTGCATTATAAAAGTGTTTTGGGAGGAGGGGTTGCTAAAACATGTTGTATCTTAATTGATTGCAATGTCTGTCCCCTTATTTGAAGCCCTTCTATTCTGTAATATTTTATTATATCCAGAAGTTCTTTTAATGGTTCTTTTAATGATTTGTTGAGTATTCTGCCAACTGGCCACAAGATGGAGATCTTGTCTTTTTCTTTCAAGGTTACTATTAATGTTTCATGTTTGTTTAGTTGAAGTCTTAATTTATAAATTATGTAATGATTATTTTGTCAGAGAGGTTTGTGGATGGAGAAAGGGCAAGAAGATGATGTCTTTACCTGATTAAATGTAGCTGACTCATCTCTTTGAGCTCATGTGTTTGGCTTTTTTTTTTAAACAATAGAAATCTCAATAAGTGAATATTACACATACTTAGATATCAATCTTGGATATATTGTGTTGGCCACTTTCAAGAAGCTCACTTATGATCTGGCAGTGTGGTTTCTATATGGCAAAAGTCTAAGTATTAATTTTTTATTTCTAATAGAAGAAGTGGCAAGATGAAGATTTCTAAAATCTCATCATTGAGAGAGGATTAAAAAAAGTAGGAAGAGAGGGTGCAAAATGACTAGAAATTGAATTGTTATTTGAAATCCCAAGCAAAGTAAACAGCAGTGGACAGTTTCTGTTTACATTGAGATTTTGGCAAGAAACTGCCGATTTCCAGTCATATTAAGAAAGAAAGTAGGAAGCTATGAATAAATAGCCACCGGCTTAGCAAACAGGTGTCTCATTGTGGCAGTATGCCATGAGAGCTGCCATCAAGAATGACAGAGTACCAAGGCTCTCATTTCCTGTAAGCATGGGGACTTTTGCAGTGACCAGATCAAGTGCTGCAGTAATGTTTCTCTACTGCCAAGTAACAGAAGTAGATGATAAAAGTACGGATTGGTTTCCCTTTTAGAGTAGTAAGTTGGAAGGGCTGGATGAACTCTTCTTTATGATGAAGCATCTTTTGAAAGAAGTGCTTTTTGAGAAAATCAGTTCGATTCATTGCTATCATATCTCCACTATGTTGCTGGCACTGTGCTGGGCACTAAGGATACAAAAACAAAAATGAAACACTTGCCACATTCTGAGAGTGTATAGTCTGCTGTGAAGTTATAACATGTACACCTGTGTTCAGCATAAAAGATTGTTGGTGGGGGTAACCCAAGTTGAGGCTTCTGTTGCTGGCATAAGTCTTCCAAGCTCAGATACTACAGCAAGCTACAACATAGGAAGAATAGCAATAGAAAGAGCAAAGATTTACAGGAGATAATATTTGAGGGTATCCAGCGGTAAAATCCATGTCCTTAGGTACATAGGTAAAAACATGCAAAAAATAACAATGATAGGATGGGAACTAGCCATCTTAATGTGAGAAGAAAAATTGGATTTAATAAGCAGTGTATTCCTAAGAGTTGGTAGAATGGGATTAATACCTGGAATGTGGCCATGGAAAGATACATCTGATTAAAAAAATATAGAATATGTAAAAAGGGCAGTAGAATAGAATTATATCTTTTTTTAAATTAAAATTTTATTTTCCATTCTGAATCTCTCTCTCCACCCCCTCCCCAGCCATTGAGAAGGCAAGAAAATAGCATTATATTTTTAGAAGATAAATTCTTGTGATGAAATCCAGCAACTTGAGAATATAGCGAGAAATTATTAGAGTGAGAATCAATGGAGGAAATGACAAATTTATATTCTTATCAGTGTGTACTATAGACAACCTGAATAGAAGGAAATAGATCCATTCCATTTTAGAATTTCTGATAGAGGAAGAGCATAAGTCTAATGTGCGTTGTAGATTTTGGGGAAAACAGATTTCAGATGTTACAGAAAAGGAATAAGCAGGATTTCAAGGGCTCATTCTAGAGGGCAAATCAGTCTAGGAAAAATGAGAAAACCATGAAGACAGAAAAGGGAGAATTAGGGAGGGAAAGAAGGGGCTGCTTAAAGATGGCTATAGAGCTATATAGGGAACTCATCCATAGAGTTATGTTTATGACAGTGTGTCAGTACAGGGAACTTGTGCACAAAGCTGCGTGTAGAAGACTGCAGCAAGGGAAAGCATAATAGAGGATGAAGCCAAGTGTTGTAAGAGTGGTATGTCAAGTACTCAAGGCCAGAATCAACCCAGGGTAGTGGCAAGTGCTCAGAATAACAAAGCAAGCTTCTTACCTATATTTAGGGGCAAGAGAAAGGTCAAAGATAGTACCATTGCTGTAGGTGGATGGGTTGATAATGCACGATGAAAAG